ATGATGATGTACATAAATCCATTATATTTGAAATCTATTTAAATTGTGTGAAATCGAAAAATTCTAATGGATAGATAAAAGTATAACGAATCATGATAAGGATCGTATTCTATACATATATATCTATATTTAATGTCTCTAATCAAATGCTTTGTTGAAAAGAAAAGGAGGCGATCCAGTAGGAATTGTGGAAGTCCATATGGTAGAGAGTTGCGGCTGTCGAGCTTTCTGGAGGCAAAAGCATGGATCAAGATTTCAGTGTCTGATTTCGACAGAAGTTTCTTATTTTCGCTATGTTCCTTAAACGATTAATCGATGATTTACATATGTATGCGAGGTGCTTCTCCAGGGAGATATTTTGATCAAAGATAGCATCAATATTTCGTGTAGCAAAAGAGGGCTCGACTCCATCTGTGTTTCCTTTGATGTAGTCAATCATTAGTGAAGGACGGTGTTGTGCATTCAACACAAGAAATTCTGTCTTGTCTCGGTTTAGTTTTAAGCTTATTTTGTACCATCCATGAATCGATCTCTCTAAGACATGTCTCAGTGCGTGCTATAGTTGTTCAGCGGGTATGGGTTGGAAAGCAAAATAAAGCTGAGTGTCGTCTGTGTATGAGTAATATCCCAACCCTTGACACTTGATGATGTCGCCAAGTGGGAAGGTATATAGTGCATACAGTACTGGGTCAAGTACAGATCCCTCGGGCACTCCGTATTGCAAGTCTTTGGTGTTGGACTTGACTCCGTCAATAACAACGCACTGTTTGCGGTCATGGAGGTAGGACTCCAACCACTTCGACACCTTTCCTTTTATTCCGAAACGTCTGGAGAGCCCAGTTAAAAGCAGCTTGTAATCAACCGTGTCAAACGGTACAGAAATACCAAGTAGCAAGAGCTCGACGCAGTTCTGGTTGTCGATAGCACAAAGGATGTCATTCTGTACTTCTAGGAGGTTGAGACTAGATGCCATGGCGACTATCGTATTGCTTAGAAAAACCATACTTGGTTATTTATTTTCTTTAATTCTCTAACTCCAAACAAAAAAAATACACTTACTGCTGTATAGATTTATTTTACAAAAGGAAATGAAAGTGTTATTGTTACCCAGTGTTCACTGCAAATGTAACAAAGTTTCTACCTACCAGCGACAATGACTGTCGTAGCTGTACGGCTCTCTCCAAACTTGTTCATTGCTTTACATTCATAAACACCACTGACATCAGGAACAACATCTTTTATGATTAGTATAGTACCGTTGTTCTCGAGCTGAGCGTGAGGTATACTGGTAAGTCCATCTTTAGTCCAGGTAACAGAAGCTTCAGTTTCTCCAATAACCTCACAGGTCAACACTGCCAGTTCGCCAGTTGCTGTAATGGTTGTTTTTGGGAGACCTTTGATAAGAGGTTTACCTGAGTTTTGATAAAGATGGAGTAGTTATTCCTAAACAAAGTTCAGGACACAAAGCAGCTCGAAGGCTTTGCAGCCTCTCTCATCCAAACTAAAAAATAACATGAAAGCCCCTCAATTGATGGAAACTTAAATTTTATTACAAACACAGAAAGACATCCAACACAGCATCGCAATCTTATATTAATAAAATACTCAAAGCTTAGACTACACTGAGGTAAATTTGGTTGCTTAATGCTTGATGTCTCTGACAAAAGAAAAGTATACTAAAATCACAGACAAAACAGAAGTACCTTTGATGTCAATGGCTACGAAGTTACTGGAGACATACACCGTCTGCAAAATACAACCACAAGAGCTAATCATTCATGCGTAACCTTTCGCTGTGTTTGGTTATGGCATGGTGACTCCGGCTAGTTTTCCTGAGCATTACAAGCCTGCTCAAAGCTGCTGTTATAGAAATGCATTCACTAAGACCAAAGAGCCGGTAAACAACGGCAAGATAATAGTGTTGGCGGGGGAAGTTCGAGAGACACCTGAGAAGAAGACCTGAAAGAGGTGAATGAGTCAGATTTGTCACCCAGTATTTACATTGAATGAATAGAAAATCCCTTTCTACAGATAAAAGCTTTGTTAGGATACCTCGGAGACAAAAGCCCTGAGGAACACTCTGTAGTTTGTATTCAGCTGCAGTGGTTTGTTGTAATAATACTGATCACCACTACTTCTCTTACTCCTTTCTTTACCATTGGACTGTGCTCCATCTCCAATAACAAATTCCTGATTTTTATCAAAACTATTTCCTTCAAACTGAAAAGCGACATAAGCAGCAGGAACAGAAGATTTGTGCGCTTCTTCATACGTCATCATGTCTTGCGTTGTAAATCTTCCCGGTGGTTTGACAGCTCCAGTATAGTTTGAGCTTAATGTAATAACGATTACTTGATAAAACCTGCAAGATACACAGCAGGATATAAGTAGTGCCAGCAGTATCTTGTGGTTCCCATTGTTACTTGTCAGTTACATGTCCTTCAAGCTCTATTTTCTTTTGCATCTTACATGATAATATACAGGATGTCTGATGATCACTACAGTACAAGAGGAAACAACCCAAACCCTGAGCCTCTTCTCCCTTTTGTCAAGTCCTTCTTCTGCCATTCGCAAGCCTACCCTTCTCCAAATAGCCCTCAAAATAAACGTGCAATTACTTAGTCAATCATACCTTGCATTTCCACGAAAACGTGGAAGCGTGACTTTAGCAGAAATTCCTCCTCCTCTTAAATTCGCAGAAATATAAGGCGAAGATAGCGTTTCTTTAGACCACACTACAGCTGGGGAGAAGGGAAGGAAGGCTCAGTTTAGTCAGGTAAATCTAACGAAATCCTTACTTTATACGAGAACCTGCGAGGTTATAGGTGCCCACTAAGTTTAAGTTTAAGTTAACTCAGCATAAACTCAAAGAGCTAGTGAATCACTCGCCTTTGGCTCGAAACCATCATAGTTTCCTTGTGTTTCCCAAACTTTTCCATAAGTTGTTGCAACCCTTCTGATCAACCCCTATCATGTAAATCGCCTTATTACAGGCTTACTTACCCAATGTCTGCACAATTACTGGTCTACTGTAGGGTCCAGGCCCCGCAGCAGTGTAGCCTCGAACAGACACTTCGTACTTGGCACACCAAGAGAGTCCAGTGACGAGAACATAAGTTGTAGATGTGTTAATGGTTGCATGATAGGCAGATTGGATCCCTGTACAGTTTTCCAGCACACTGAGCCTAGCTTCATATCTTATGATATTACCATAGGCTGCTTCTCTTGGTATTCCAAGCCAAGTTATATTAATGTTTGAGGAGTTCACTGCAGAAGAGGATACCTCTTGTGGTCCACGACTGGGCTCTATTTGAGAAACGTGAGAAACAGTCTTTATCAGGTAAATGCACTCTTGGATGAAAAGCTAAACCAACTTGCATCAGAATGACACAAAAATATTCTCAAAATATTACTCATAAATACACCCTGTGACGAATAATTAAAGATTACGGCTAAAAAAGAAGAAACAAAACAAAACAAAAGAAACAAAAAGAAACAAAACGAAAGAAAAACAGCAGAGACAAACATAAATACTCATATCTGTGATAAAAGAGAAGTTAAACAGTAACTTGTATTTTACTGTATTTAAACACGTATCTTACAGCTCTGATGGCTTAAACACACTTGAAGAGCTTTCAGTAGTGCAGAACACTACCTTTTTGATAGCAAAATAATCCAATCAAACAGGCAAAAAAACTAATTGAAAATCAGATCATTTTCAAACACGAACAAGGATCACCACTATGAAGTCACTACAACATATTGTAATAGATACGAATGCGTTTAGGTGCACAGCAATTGACATAACGGTAAATGTAAAGAACCCACTGTATTCACTGGTAGTTACAGTTATCGTCCCATTTGGTCCAGGTCTAATAGTCACAGCTCTGACATGAAACTGATAAGTCACTCCACCCAACACATCAACTGTGTGACTCAATGTATTTTTGTCTAATCCAGACTCCTCTTTTGGCACACCTCCATCGTGACTGTAAAACAAAGTGTAACGTCTAATAACTCCATTTGGTTCTGTAGGCTTGCTCCAGGACAAGGTTATTCTGGGTCCGTGCAAATTGCTGGGTGGCACATCAACAAACGACAAAGACGTAGGTGCACTGGGAGCTGGAGGAACAAAGATGATGTGCACATTAATAGAAGAATGATACAGAAAATCATTGAATGCATGTAAATTGAATAACATAATATAAGAATATACTGCTCCCTTATTTAGGTGTTAAGGTATTGCCTTTTTCATAGAACAATCTAAGAATTAGATTAAAGACAAGTTCATCTGAGTAACTTAACAAATCAAGTCATGAAAGCAGAATTCTAAGAGCTGATTATTTGCAAGGCATGTCGAAGAAGAAGATCTTATTAATACTGGCCTGAAGTCCAAACTTGAAAGCCAACACCCTAAATCAATCATCAACATTAACTTTGTGTTAGCAAGTATTATAGGAAAGTTTATCTAACTGTTGTTTAGAGCTCTTGCAATTCTCACCATCTTCCATTGTTGTTGTGAAAACAGTGGAGCTTCTTGGTCCATCACCAGCAGAAGTGAAAGCCAACACTTGAAATTCATATTCAGTGTATTCATCAAGGTTGGTGACACTTTTTGACTTTTTTCCATTGTCAATAGTCAGGGAGGTTGTTAAACCTGAGTCTTTCTTTTTATAGAACAGTTTATATCCTCTGATGATGCCATGTCTGGAGTCCTCTGGTGGTAAATGCCATGAGGCTGCGATACTGGTTGAAGAGTTTACAATGACGTAGAACTGAGAGGGAGGTCCTGAAGGAGCTGCAATAGAGTAGTCATGTTTTAATTAACACTTCAATAAATGATTCAGACTGAGTTTCATTTTCCATGACACAAAAAATGGTGGAGCTGACTTACAGCTTTCACTTGAAAGTTTTCATTCAGGAAGATATCCATTATCTGGCTCAGTTAAAACCTTTAACATGGTTATCACTACAATTATTTGTTTATTTTTATTTGCTCATTTATTTATTTATTACATTGTGTGTGTGTGTGTGTGTGTGTGTGTGTGTGTGCGTCTGTGTGTGTGTCTGTGTGTGTGTGTAGTGTCTGTTTTGGTAGCGTGTCTAGAATAGCTTTGCTAACTGCGGGCTACAAAGGCCTTTATTTCTTTAATTAAAAAAAAATAAAGTCAATGTTGTTGTTAATAATGCATCCTTGAGAGAGTGGCACTTTTAGTCATAGGGATGTCTAAGTTGTAAATGAAATGACCCAATATGGAGGCTGAATCAAGGCACGTTTAAAGTTAAAGATATCTGTAAAGATAATAACAGATTTCCAACAAACAAGGGTGGAGCTTGCTATCATAATTTTGGTGCACTTATTCTTTATTATCAAATCTTTTTAAAACTTTGCCTTTTATTTGATTCTTCCTATAAGTCAATTCAAACAACTGTGGGATAACAAGTCNGTGCGTGTGTGTGTGTGTGTGTGAGCCTATACAGTGTCTGTTTAGGTAGCCCGCCTAGAATAGCTTTGCTAACTGCGGGCTACAAAGGCCTTTATTTCTTTAATTAAAAAAAAATAAAGTCAATGTTGTTGTTAATAATGCATCCTTGAGAGAGTGGCACTTTTAGTCATAGGGATGTCTAAGTTGTAAATGAAATGACCCAATATGGAGGCTGAATCAAGGCACGTTTAAAGTTAAAGATATCTGTAAAGATAATAACAGATTTCCAACAAACAAGGGTGGAGCTTGCTATCATAATTTTGGTGCACTTATTCTTTATTATCAAATCTTTTTAAAACTTTGCCTTTTATTTGATTCTTCCTATAAGTCAATTCAAACAACTGTGGGATAACAAGTCATTTAACTGAAGAGTCCCCCCTCCATGTTACTTATTCTTACTTATTCGGTAAGGCATAAAAATACAACACCGCATGTTTTAACAATGCATGCTTCATGTAAATAGGCAGCTTTGACTGTTTTAAGAAAAATTTAAATGTGAGAAATTGCTTTATTTAGCATGGACAGATTTCAAGTTAATAGCTAAATTCAATGTTTATCCCTTACTTGTAACTTCAACAGTGCCACTTAAACGTTATCCCTCCAGAGCCATCATGAAACAAGACATTTTAATGGACAGAAATTGTTATAATAATACCATGGAATGTACAGGGAAAGGCGTATTTCTCTAAAACTCAGGCAACCATAGATACCTGCCATAAAATTATATGTTGGAATCTAGATTGAGGTAAGATCTATCACATCAGAGATGGGACAAACAAACCCCTAGACAAAGTTTCATAAAGTCTGTTTCGCCTCTTCTTTAGGCCTTAATAACATTCTATAGAGACATGTCTAGCATCCAAAACTTTTTTGTTTCTTAAAAAATAGTTAAATCCTTATTTCTTACCAGCCTCCTTTGTTTTCTCAAAAATAGCTGTACTAGTTGGTCCATCCCCAACAGAAGTGAATGCTAATATTTGAAATTCATATTCCGTGAACTTATCAAGCCCAGAGACCTCTTGAATGCGAGTTGCCTGATTGTTAATGGGCTGCATGCTTGCTGGCCCTGAAGAGCCTCCTTTTTTGTAGAACAATTTATATCCTGTAATGTTTCCATTTCTGGAGTCTTCTGGGGGTAACTGCCAGAATGCTGTTATACTAGTAGATGTGCTTGCAGTCAGAGTAAAGTTACTAGGAGGCTGTGAAGGAACTGCAATTCAGAAATTGTAATAATCATAACGATAAACAAAATCATTGTGGTCATCACCATCTCCTTATCATTATTAATGATTAACTCATACTTAAGTTTTTCCACTTTTAAATGGTATTTGCAATCTTTTTACAAATACTAAAAAAAAAATGCCTTTTTTACATAGTTTACTCCGCTAAATTCTGTTATTAAAAGCCATGACACTTTTAGAAGATAACACAAAGAGCTGTCCTAACCATCTTCGTTTGTTCTCTGAAAAACCACAGAGGTATACGGTCCATCCCCAACAGAAGTAAAGGCCAACACTTGAAATTCATATTCTGTGTACTTATTAAGACCAGTAACATTTTTCTTGAAAGTTGATTCACTGTTGATAGTAAGGATAATTCCTGACCCTGAAGAGTCTTTCCTTTTGTAAAACACTTTAAATCCTTTAATAATTCCATTTCTAGAGTCTACTGGTGGCAGTTGCCATGATGCCGTAACAGTGGTAGAAGAAGTTGCAGTGACATAGAAGTTAGATGGAGGTCGCGAAGGAGCTGCAAGTGGATAATAGCGTAGAAATGAGTTTAATTAGCTGTTAGGATGTATGAAAACTTCATGTCACACCTAAGCTTGTCACATGAATATTATTGCTGTTGCATCTTGGAAAAGTAATCACTTGATTCCTAAACTATCTTGTTGTTTAGTTTCTCGTGGCTTACTGTAATGCGCGAAACGAAACGAAATGAAAATCTGTAATTTTCGAACTAGAAATCTGTAAAGAAAATCGTTAGCATGCCTTAAACTCAAGAAAATCAAAAAGTTTGGATCAGTTCAATTTTCCCACCCACCGTAATGTTTTATCCAAAAACATGCTGCGCCATTTTGTAAGTGTATTTTCGGTCAGGAAAGTGTCTTGTCTCGCGCACTTGAATAATACATCTACAACGTACACTGCTTACTCCTTTTATGCACCACAGCTACAGCGCCAGTTATTATTTTGAATAACATTTGGTCTTTTTGGCTTGATGGCGCAACTCTTCTTTCACGTAGATAACGCATTGATTTATTCAGGAACATAGTGGAGATTTCGCAAAGAACACCACGGAGATTTTTCATTTCTCATTTCTCACTTTCGCTAGTTGTTTTTTTTTGCGTATGCACTCCAAACTTGTTGTGCACTGACCGATTAATTCTTCTGGCCTGGAGAGTTCCCCGCAGACATTCTCGTTTCACAAATTACAGATTTCCAGTTCGCGTATTACAAATTTCAATTTCACAAATTACAGATTCCTATTTCGAAAATCATTAACAGATTTCTATTTCCCCGATGAAAGGTTTCTGTTCATTTCAAAAATCATCAACAGACTTCTATTTCGCAAATTACAGATTTGTACCTGGTCAATTATTAACAGATTTCTGTCTCGCAAATTACAGATTTTCATTTTATATTTTGTTTCGTTTCGTTTAGTTTCGCAAATTACAGTAAGCCTTTCTCATCACGTGTTTGGCATCTCATTGGCAAGCAACACTTAATGAAGGTGAAAAACTTCATAAAATATGGTTCACAAATTTTTTCATTATCCCTGGATTGTCACATACCATCTTCCATTGTTCTTTCCACTTCAACAGAACTTTTTAGTCCGTCACCCTTAGATGTGTAGGCCAACACTTGAAATATATATTCTGTGTACTTTTCGAGCCCAGTCACAAGTCTGCTTAATGTCGATCCACTGGTAATATTCAAGAAGGAAAAACACCCTGCTAAGTTCTTCTTTCTGTAAAAGAGTTTAAACCCTGTTATGTGTCTTCCATGCCTGGTAAAGATTGGTGGTAGCTGCCAAGAAGCTGCAATGCTGGTAGAAGAGTTTGCAGTCAAATTGAAGGCAGTAGGAGGTTGTATTGGAACTGAAATGGTAAACAGCAAAACTTTATTTCATTTTGTAAAGGGAAAAAATTAAGGATCTCAGCGGAGTGGATAAGATACTTTAGGGTTTAAAAGAAACAAAAGGGAAGGACGGTTAAGGTGATTCTCTTCTGGTCAGCTCTAGAGTTACTTTAAAAAAATTACCACTTGATCAAGGCTCTATGAATATATAAAAAATTGCCTCTTTCTGGCACAAAAATATGCATGGATATTTGTCTTTGGACATAATTTGTTCCAAGATGTGAACAGTTTTCCGGGAGCTGTTGACCGTTACTTATCGTGTTCAAAACTGCACTTTAATAAGCTTGTCCACAGATATATACGGGTGCAGGTGCAGATATGGTAATTACATGTATTGTGGTTGGTGGGTGTGAATAACGAAGGTGCAAGTGTTGAGGTGCTAATTACAATAGTTGTGCAACACCCTCTCTCTCTTGGAAAGAGGACAGATAAATAAATGAATGAATAAGTGTACTAATCAATTATAGTTCAGTTTATCTCGCTTGTGAGCCTACATGACATAGTCTTGAACCTCGACGGCCGTTTGCGAGTCCTTTGTGAACGGCGGAGTCCGCACTCATCAGCACTAGATGGCGCGCTTTCTGATTCCATGTGTGGACGGCGAAGTCCGCCTTCTCCTCGAGGTAGTCTGCTCTCTAGCTCCATTTGCTCAAGGTCAGCTGGTTGTCTTTCCTGCTCCTGTTCAGAGTGTGTGGATGCGATTTCAAGCTGGTCCATCCCGGTGGTGTGTCTTTCAGCTGGCTCCGTTCTAGCCTCTCGGATTTGGGCATGGCTTCGTCGAATAGGTCCCATTGCCGTCTTGACCACGCAGGATCTTGATGTGGGTTGTTCGATCACCTCCCCGTAGATCCATGGCTGAGACTTGTTTGTTGGTCGCGGCTCGAGAAATACCTTTTCTCTTGGGGCAAATGGTTTCAGTGGGCCTGATGCCCTCTTGTCGTAATGGGCTTTTGATCGGGCTCTCCTTTCTTTGATGTTTCTCATTGTAACCTGTCCTAATGCGGCTTGTGGGAATAGCTGGCTTGCTGCTGTTGGGATGATGTCTCGAAGTTTCCGAGACATGAGTCGCTGTGCTGGTGAGTACTGGTATCCCTGTTGTGACGTGTTTCGATAGGCCAGAAGAGCCAGATATGGGTCCTCAAAGCGGGATTTTTTCAGAATATTTTTCGCAATCTTGACTGCAGATTCGGCTTTGCCGTTTCCTCGACTCAGGTAGGGAGATGATCTAATGCTGGTGAATCCGTATTCACGTGCAAAGCGTGCGTATTCGTGGCTGACAAACTGCGGACCGTTATCTGTCACGCATTCGTCGGGAATGCCGTGACGTGCGAAGTTTCGCTTCAAGGCTCGTATGACTGCAACGGCTGATGTGTTTTTTAAAGGCTCAAGTACGATATAGTCACTGTAGTGGTCCACAAGTACAAGGTAGGTACTGCCATTTAGCTGAAACAGATCTGCACTCACTCTTTCCCATGGCCGAGACGGTATGGCATGTGACTGCATGGGTTCCTGGGGCCGTTCACTTAGGTATTGAGAACACACACYGCAAGAGGAGCATGTTTGCCTGATTGCTGCTTGCATTCCCGGGCAGCAAACGGATTCCCGGGCTCTTCGTATACTACTGTCGGCGCCTTGGTGTGCTTTGTGTATCTTCTGTAAGAGCTCGGGTCTGAGTGATCCGGGAACAATGACTTGATGAGATTTGAAAAGCACTCAATCATATACTGAAATCTCATCTCTGAGGTCCCAGTATGCTCTGATTTCCTCTAGTACTTCACTCTTTTGGCGGGGCCAGCCACCAAGCACCATGTTGTTCACTGTCATCAGTGATGGGTCTTTCTCAGTTTCCTTTCTGATCTGGTTCATTGTACCGGGTTTGACAAGGTTTGGTGACAGGTCCATTTGTGTGAGATTCACACGAAACACATCGCAGTCTTGTGTCATTCTGGAGGGGGACTGAGTTCCACCATTGAGAGATGCACGAGACAGAGTGTCGGCCACGAAGAGCTCTTTTCCTTTCTTGTACTGTACAGTGAATTCATAGTTCTGAAGTCTCAGCATCATTCTCTGAAGACTGCGTAGAGCTCTGCTCAGAGGTTTTTTGAAAATTGTCTCCAGAGGCTGATGATCAGAGTGGACCGTTATGTCTCGCTTTCCATAAAGGTAATGATGCCATTTCTCCATACAGGACACAATTGCCAAGCACTCTTTCTCGATATGAGCATAATTCTTTTCTGTAGCGCTGAGGGTGTGTGACGTGAAGTAGACAGGGTGGCCCTCCTGAAGTAGGACCCCGCCTATGGCACTGTCAGATGCGTCTACTTGAGGAGTCACAGGAAGGCTGACGTCATAATAGGGCAATACTGTTGTGGAGGCTATGAGAGTCTTGGCTGAGTTGAATGCCGCCTCATGGACTTCCGACCAAAGGAATTCAGTGTCATCCCTAGTTAGGTCCCTCAATGGAAGGACTGTTTGGGACAGGTTTGGGCAGAACTTGGACAAGTACTGGCACATTCCTAGGAAACGTTGCAATGCGGCCTTATCTGCTGGGGTTGGCATTCCTGTGATCGCAGCTACTTTGCTTGGATCCCGCTGTACTCCATTTTTTGGTAAGTCGGTGCCCCATAAATGAGACAGAGCTGGACTTAAATTGAATTTTTTTCGCGGAGAGTGGACGATCGTGTTCATTGCACTTCTCAAGTAGATGCATAAGATTTTGGTCATGATGAATGTCGGCTTCTTCCTTAGTGTTGCCACAGCCATAAACACAGATGTCATCTGCGATGTTGATTACCCCATTCAATCCGTCCAGAAATTCATGTTGTCGCCGCTGATATTCTTCTGGTCCTGAGGCAATACCAAAGGGCATCCGATTGTAACAATAGCGACCACTTAGCCCTCAGAAAGTTGTTAGAAGGGAAGAGTCTTCATCCAGTTTAATAGTATGAAACGCCTCAGAAACATCAACGACGGTGAATGCCTTGGCGTTTGTCAGAAGCGGTAGCCTCTCTTCGATTGTGGGTATGGTGTATTTGGGCCCTTTGATTGCTTTGTTTATGGTTTGGCTCGGATCGATGCAGATGCGAAGTTTGCCATTAGGTTTCTCCTTAACCAGCATATTTGACCGCCAATCGGTAGGTTGGGTTACCGGCCTTATAATTCCTTCTTTACAGAGCCTTTTCAGCTCTTCATTGACCCTGTTTAATTTTTCCACTGGAACACGGCGAGCGGGGGCATGAATGGGTGTGACTGACGGGTCAAAGTCGATGTGCATGGGGCTCCCAAGAGGCTTCCCGCGTCTTGGTTTAAAAACGTTGGGGTAGTGCTTTAGGATGTCCTCTGAAGTCAATTTGCCGAGTGCAGGCAGTTTCTGCGTGTTTCGTCTGGTCTCCTCCTTGACCGCGTTTGTCTCGTCTGCATAGATGGTCAAATACTTTAAAGCCTGTGCGTCTCGTCCGCTAAGAATTGGAGTCTTGTCGTCAAGAACGTTCACCACTAGGAAGTCAATTGTGTGGAATTTGCCCTTCCTTTCGCACACGAGGGTTACTTGACCTTCTGGTTTCAGTGTTTGGCTTCCGTAGGTGTTGCTTCTGCTTTTCATCTTTGAGACCTTCAAATTCGGGAATAGCTAGCTTAATACTGAACTTGGCAATGTATTACAGGTCGACGCCGAGTCGATTTGAGCTTTGACAATTTTCGACCGCCTCCCATGGATGAGGTGCAGGTGAGCGAAGAATTTCTTTGCACCGACTGGCGCTGCCTGATCATTTATAACAAATGCCTCTTCATCAGGGTCATCATCAACAAAATTCGATTGCTGATGTCGTCTTCTACCAATTCTCGTTCCTCCTCTGCATGCACGAGCAAAATGGCCAATGATTCCACACTTGTTGCATCGTTTCCCGAACGCTGGACAATGCTGTTGACGAGGGCTGGGATGTTCACCGCAACACCAGAAGCAGGCCGCTGTTAAGGTGTCGGAGCTGCGGTATTCGGGTTTTGTCTTCTTTGTGAAGTTTACCTGCTCCTGCTGGTTGCCTCGGGCATTTTTCATTAACTGGTTTGCA